AATATGGATATCTAGGAATACCAGGCAAACTACTAGACTATTTATAGGAGTAATAAAATTTGTGTTGCTTTAACCAATAGAAAATAAGAGAAAGGAAAGTGGATTTTACAGTGGAAGGGAAATAATTCACGTCAAATTTTATCTCATCTTTCTTTCTTTTTTTAGGATTGTTAATCAAATCTATCTCATCTTTTGCTGTTAAACATAATGTAGACAATGGACGATCACGACACAGCAATTTTTAGACTTACAGGTTAATGTTCTTGTTTAGTTTTCACTTCAAAGGAAAGAAGGCTGATTTTGGAAGGAATTAAGTATACTACCTCGAAATGTGCTAATAATATCTAGAACCTCTTTCAGGAATTCATGAATAGCATTCATATGCAAATGTAGGTGATCTAGTCTCCTCGAGGAATACTTTAAGGCTTAAGCAACAGGTTTTATAAAATTCTAACTTGATAACCAGAAAAACAGACAGTGCACCTAAGGGCGGGGCCTAGTGGTTAATAAAGTGGGTGAAACTTTGGAGACCAAGTTTCAAATCCTAGCAGAGACAAAAATGTTAGGTAGTTTCTTCCTATCTGCCTAAGCCTTGGTGCGCTTTCTGCTGGTAGGAGATAGCAGGTAACCAGTGGAATAGTCAAGGCGCACGCAAGCTGACCCTCACACACCTTTTATAAGGGAAAAAGAATCAGATAGTTCAGAAATGGAAACTCACAAGCACGTCTAGTTTTCACAATGCCTCAACAGATTCTTACAAACAATTTATTCAGCTGTTGATGGGAGTCAAATCAATGTGTTGGTTCCTAGAAAGTCCAGGATCCCAAATTCTCGAAAATTGTTCTTAAAGTGCATAGGCAGCCTTGATCAGGATTAATAGCGATTTGGTTCACGATGATTCTTACTTTTTTTTTTCTTTCCTTTTGTGACTTTCTGAAGAGAACAGATCATGCAAGTTTAACTGCACTACTTGAAAAAGCACTCATTGATAGTCAAATGCATATTCACCTTTTAGTTCTTACAAAGTGATCCATATATGCTAATAAAATATGTGACGAAACACATCAAAAGAAACTATTAAGATATGCAGAAGACTTATGTATAGTCCAAGAAATAGCGAGAAAGGTACCAGGGAAACAAAAACAGTCCTTGCAGTTCCATAGATGATTACTGAGAGCCACTCAACGTGTCTTACAAAAAAAAACCTCATCTTAAATAGATTTGTCTGAGAAACGAGTGCTTCAACCAGCTTTCTAACTCCAACCCACTCTTTCTTAACTCTTTCTTTTCACTTACGACCCCTCTGCTTGTTCAATCCTTTATTATCACCAGCTGCCTTTTGGCTTATAGGTCCAGTCCCAAAGGCGCCCAAAGCATCAAGAAAGAACTTTTTGTTGGGGATAATCCCATCTTTGTCCATACATGTCAGCAATTTTTGTACTAGCTCCTTCATATCGGCTTTAGTGTAGGCCTTATATAGAAGTTTATAGGTTGAGGAATCTATCGGGAAAGCTTTGGCTGAATGAATACTCTCAAAGAGCGCGTCGGCTTCTACGGGTAAACCATTCATGCAATAAGTATCAAGCATTGAATTCAGTGTTGAAACCTTCTTCTCCTTTTCAGATTCCACCACCCTATCAAATAGTGCTCTTGCTTTCGAAACACAGTCGCAATGCCCATACATCATAATGAGGCACTCATATGTGATGTAACTTGGCCTATAACCTAAGTCAGTCATCTTCTCAAGAACTAACTCTGCTTTCTCTCTAAGCCGTGCTTTTCCGTAGTTTGTTATCATTGAGTTGAACGTGGGAATGGTAGGTTTTTCCTTGGATCGAAGCAAGCTTTTAAAAACTTGTTCCATCTTCTGAAATTCCTGCTTCTTCCCATATGAATCAATCAATATGTTAAAAGTAATGATATCTGGTTTCAGCTCATTACTCTTCATTCGAGAGAGAACATGCTCCATTTCCTTGATCATCCCATTTTTCCCATAGGCATCCATCAGACCATTAAATGTGAATATATCAGGAGTGACTATGCTCTCCTCAAGATCTTTCAACAGTGCATCTACCTGTTCCACATTTTTTGCCTGAGCAAAAGCTCTCAAAAGAATGTTGTAGGTAACAATACTTGGATTACAACGCTCCATTCCCTTCATCTTCTCAAAGTAACCCATAGCCTTTGCCAAGGCCTTCGATTTGTCTCGGGAGTGGAGATGGGCTGAAATGACTGCATTGTACACTGAGGTATCTGGCCGACACCCACTATTACGCATTTCAGAGAACAGCCACATTGCCATTCTGATCTGCCCTTTCTTCCCCATTACTGATATCAACTTTGAGTAAACCCCATTATCCGCTATATACCACCGTTGTTTTTGCATCCATCTGAAAACCTATATATATTAGATTTATAAGTGAAACAACTGCTCTGTAAACTAATTCTACTTCAGAGAAGTCAGTCAAAAAAGGCATTCCATGTTGATAATTAAAGAAAAGGTTAGGCATTCTGAAAATTCTCTAGTTACCCAAATTCTTTTTCCAGTATAAACCATAAAAACATATGACAGAAACCACCACCTTCTACACACCCAAGAAAACTCCAACATAAAAGTTGAACACAAACCCATAAATGGAAATTCGAACCTAAACCACTCGGTGATAGCATTTCCCCAACCTCTACACAACAGTTTTAATGTCATGAACCTTTTGAATTTGCACATGATATTTGATGTTCTAGTCCATTGACGTCTTCGAAACGCATAAACCTTTGCACCAAGTGCCGAGATCATATGCAACACACCTACCTATTTGTGTGTATTGCCGATGGCAGAGAAATCTAAATAGCTTGATCAAGACACATTCATTAGTCAATTCCAAAATACCAATCAATCAACTACATCTCAACCGCAAACTAATTCAGGTAGGTCACAAAAACCCTCTGAATCCATTCTGTTCTATTCAGCCTATCTCATTCCAATATTGAGTAATTTGTTACGGGTCCCTTAAGACAAGGGGTTCTAGTATCCAACAATGTGGTTTAATGGTCAATTAAATAGGATGTCTCAGGTTCAAATATCAGGGGAAGCAAAAATGCAAAATACACTAGGTGATCTCTTTCCATCTTCCTAAGCTTTGGTGGGCAAAGTTACCTAATACTTGTGCTGGTGGTAGGAAGCAGGTACCCGGTGGAATAGTCGAGGTGCGCGCAAACTAGCTCAGACACCTACCATCATTTATTAAAAAAATAAGAGACTAGGGGTTCTTTCAATCTCACACTTATCCCTATATAGACATTCAAGGTTAACACTTAAAAAATGGAAATGCAAGTTTAACGTAAATGAAGGTGCTAACCTCAAGGCATTGAAGCCAATTATCAGTTTTGCCAAGTTCTTCAAAGAGCAAGAAACAGTGTTCAGTCCTCACAAACTTAACATACTTGTTCAGAGTGCTCACTAATGGCTTCTTATCACTGAAATTCTTCATCAGCAAAGTTACCAGCTCCTGTGCCTCGGATGACCCGATACGGCTCATGGTACCCGACTTCCTCCCGGGTCGGGTCGACACACAACGGATAACATAGAAAACGGGTCTCTTGTAAGTGAAATTTAGCCATGGATTGTGGGTCAGTTTGGGTTGTTGAAATGTTGGTGTAGTAGTAGTTGAAGAGGTAAACTGAACCGACCCGGAATAAGAAAATGGCAGGGTCATTATTGGTATTTTTTTTATTGGTGTAATTAAAGTGGAAATTGAATGTGCATTGGATTGGAGGGTAGTTTTATGGGCGTAGGGGTGAGGGAGATAATGGTGAAAAATGGAGAGAGGAAGTGAGCAGATATTGCAGAAAAGTAGTGGAAGTTTTCGGTGTTCAACTTTCAGTTCCGAGAGAAGGGATGATGTGCAGTAAATGACGATGTTGCCCTTGAATGGGCCAAAAAAGGTAAAAAAAGACTGGATCACACTTTGAATCGGGGGATTTGAACCCGACGTGAATCGAACACGCAACCTTCTGATCTGGAGTCAGACGCGCTACCATTGCGCCACGGATCCTATTGTTGTTCAATCGTATTGTTATTTTTATATAGACATTCACTTGTTCTTGTTATTACACTGTCTTCACAAAGTATAATTGGCTATTTGGCTTGATGTAAACTGATGTTAAAGATTATGGTAGATCGTTAAAATGACACCAGTGCAAAAATGTTCAACATACGAAACCTTTGGATTATACAAAGAAAATTAAGGACCCGTCTGTCTACACATATTTTATCTTTTTCTTTTTTTTTTTCAAATTTTGGAAATTTTTAAAAAAATGAGTTTTTCAAAAAATTTAGAAATTTTTGTTTCCCCATTCACAAAACCGCTGTAAAAACTTGGAGACAACTGAAGAAAGAAAGGATGGGCTCAACTCGAGCTCTAATGGCGGATGATGTTGTACTGTCGAAGAGAGAGAGGAGCAGTTACATGAATGAACCTTCTAGAAAGAAGGAGCTACTTTTCTTTATTATTTCAACTCATTAAAAAAAAGGAAAAATACAAAGGTAATGTCTTATTTATAGTAGTTGTACATCTGCTCAAGAATTAACTAACTACTTAATGCTAATACAAGTGTAAAAGAATAAAAATAATAAATAATCTCAACACCCCCCCTCAAGTTGGAGGGGAGTACCTCACATCCAACTTGCTAAGAAGTGCAGCATGTTTGATCCCTGTCAAAGACTTGGTCAAGATATCAGCTAGCTGCTCATTAGTAGAGACATGATGAAGAGAAATTAGTCCTTCCTATAGTTGATCTCTCACAAAGTGACAGTCCAGTTCAATATGTTTTGTACGTTCATGGAACACAGGGTTTCTTGCTATGTGCAAGGCAGCTTGACTATCACAGAAGATGGGAATAGGTAAGGTTAATGGAACAGTAAGCTCATTGAGAAGTCTTGCCAACCATACAAGTTCACCAACCACCATTCTAGCCGACCTATATTCAGCTTCTGCAGATGATTATGAAACAGTAGACTGCTTCCTAGACTTCCAGCTGATAGGGCTATTACCAAGTAGCACAATGTACCCACTGACTGATTTCCTTGATTGAGAGCAAGTAGCCCAGTCTGAATCACAGAATGCCTTCACACCATAATCTGCAGTGTTGCTGAGGAAAATGCCCAAAGATGGGGCACCTTTTAAGTATCTTAGGACATAATATGCTGCCTTTAAATGGGGTTTCCTGGGACTCTGCATGAACTGACTGAGATGTTGTACACTATATGCAATATCCAACCTAGTATTAGCGAGAAAGTTAAGTTTACCAATCAGCTTCCTATAATAGGAGGGATCAGCTAGTGGAGCTCCCTCATCAGCTTTCAGTTTCACTGAGGGATCCATAGGACAGGTCATAGATGGGAAATCTATACAACCAAACTCTCTCAGAAGGTCAAGAGTGAATTTCTTTTGTGACATCAGGACCCCTTGCTCTGTATATTGAACTTCTATCCCTAGGAGTAATGAAGTCTCCCAGGTCCTTATCTTA